GGCTGAGAACCCAAGCTCCTTCGTGTGTGTGCGTGTGTGTGTGCGTGCGCATGTGTGAGCACGTGTGAGCACTCATGTGTCCCCTCTGCACTGGGAAGGAAGGAGTACCAGTTTGCTAGCTGCCTACGGGCCACAGACTTGTCCCCAAAGCAGCAGAAGCCTAGGATAGTGGTGCATGCCTGTTAACCCAGCACTCTGGGAGGCTGAGGCAGGAGCATGGCATGTTCCAGTAGCCCAGCCTGGCTCACTTACCAAGATTCCTCTCAAATAAAAAGGACTGAAGATGGACTTCAATTCGAAGGCCTTAGGTTCAACCCCTATACCTCTCTCTGCATAAAAAACAAAAACACCTCCAAGCACCTGCCAAGGAGCCCCTGTCTAAACTGGCCGGTGCAAGCCCAGCATGGCTTCGTCTTAGCTCGGTCACATGCACAGGATGCGAGGACTTGGGGGACACAGTTGTGCCCACTGTAGGCCTGTCCCCACAAGGGTAGGGCCCCCTTGATGCTCCTTCTTTTCTCCCACAAAGGGGCTGTGAAGGGTCTGGGGCAGAGGGGGACCTGGCCCTAGGTTATACCTGGGGAGGGGGCTTCAGATAGTCTGGGAGCTGTCAGTCCTGTGACCTTGGATGGGTTTCTTCTTCCCCAGCCCCTCCCAGGCCCCTCTGGGTGAACAGTGACTTGGACTTCAGCCACGTGGGCCCCGAGTGTCCCCGCACACCCAGACCTGGTTACCTGTCAGTGTGCAAGCCCTTGAACACCTGCTTTGCTCTGGTCCCTGGAGGAGTGGCAGGGGACAAACGTGGAAGGACATTTGTGTCAGGGGGTGACACAAAGGAAAATGGAAGAGCAGGTTCCACGGTCCAGCAGAGAGGACCAAGCCTTGTGAAGGGGGGGCCAGGAGGCCGGGAGGCTCAGTGACGCGCACATCCTCCGGGGTCCCCAGGGGAGTGGGCTGGGGACAGCAGTGGGAGCGAGACATGTGCCCTGTGGCGGCTCCTGTATCCTCCCAGGGTCCCCACAGTGCGTACCCCCTCCCCATTCCTCTCCAACTGCCGAGAGTCGCTGTCCTTGTTACTATTCTGATCCTCATTACAGAAACGTCCTCACCCTCCTCACGACAGCCACGGGAGACAGGGCGCTCGGAGCTGCCGAGCAGTCAGCCAGGCAGCCGAGGGGGGCTGATGCCTCGAGCTGGGGGGCTTCCGGTGTCAGCTTCTCCTCTGTGCTCTGTGCTCCTGTCCCCTGGCAGCTCTGGCACGCGGCTTCCTCTGGGCCGCACCTGCCACCCAGGAGGCCTTGAGGACTTCAAGCAGCCCAGCACCGCGGGCACCTGGCACAGTGGGTACTCCATAAATGCCCATGAGAGCCGGCAGAGCAGGACGGTGGGCCACGGCATGGCCTGCTTGATGCCCTCGGCCCACTGGTGGGGCAGCACGACAAAGGACGTGAGAGGAAGGACAAGGAGCCCAAGGAGTGAGCCTCTTCCAGAAGCGCAGTCCCTGAAATTCCCTGGGACAGACTCAAGCCTTGGTGCCGAACGTGGCCTCTTTCTCCTGGGCTCTCTGATGACCTTGGCTGAGTCTTGGGCTTTCGGGAGCCTTAGTGTCCCTGCCTATTCCCCAGGACTGACTCAGCATAGACTGGGTCTATGTGCGGAGCAGGTGTGGCTTCTCCAACAGGGTGTCACTGGGTGCCACAGAAGCGCTGCTGGCCAAAGGGACAGGGAAGGTGGGGCTGGAGGACAGGGGAGAGGGGACCTCAGGGGCTTGGGAGCCTGGGGAGCTGGGTGGGCGGACCCTGGATCAGCTGCGAAGTGAGGCACAGGGCAGTGTCTCTGGGGAGGGCAGCCAGAGGGAGGAGCGGCGACAGCAGGTTTCCTTTCAGCCCCCAGCGACGAGTGCAGGGAGACAGCCAAGAACAGAGGCCTCAAAGTTTCCAGCACTCTGCTAAAATTAGCCCCGTCTTGCGTGTGCGGCTCTATATTTAAACCAGCGGCCTGTCAGAGACAGCGCTGCGCTGGCGGCACATGCCAGCAGGTTTGGGGCCCAGGGTGACACGGGGGCAGGTGGCATCCCTGGGCACGAGCCATCCAGATCCATCCACACCGCACCTGTCAGAGTGGCTCAGGGCTGGGGCAGCTCCGACCCGGCGGGCTGGACGGACAGACGGCGGCAGGGACAGACACAGCCACACGCGGACAGGTGGAAAGGACGCTGCGTGGTGGGGAGGGACAGGGATAGTGACAGCGGTGGAAAGCTGGGCAGGAGGTGGTGGCGTGGCAGGAGGGTGGTGGTATCCAGTCCAGTGGACTTGGCGAGGTCCCCTGCTGGGGAGACCCGAGCTGCTCCTTCCTTCCTGCCGCCACCCTAGAGGTGATGAGAGGCCTGGACCATTAACTTTGACACTGAAGAGGGTTTTATTGCCCAGGAATAGCTCTGCATCTCTTTAGAAACCTCCTCCCTCGGGCCCAGCCCCACAGACCCCAGGGGTCGTTTTGTCTGGGTCAAGAGCCTCTTGTGGCTCTGGCTGAGCCTGGGCCCTGTGCGTGCGTGTGCGTGTGCGTGTGCGTGTGTCTGCAGTGTGCACCTGACTGCACATGTGTACCTGCGTCCGCAGCGCGCACCTGCGTCTGCGCATGCGCACTACATCTGCACATGCGCACCTGTGTCTGCGCGTGTGCGTGTGGGGGATGGCTGAGGTGATCTGCGAGCCCTTCCTGGTCTCCTGCGGGTCAGGCAGTGGATGCGCAGCCTGTGGAGAGGTCGAGGTCGGCCAGGCCTGAGTCCCGGAGCGATGCTTCCCGTATTTCCGTCTTTCAGCGCCGAGCCGCTGCCGTCGGTCTCAGGTGCCTGGTGGGGACCGCTCGCCTCTCTCAAGCCCATCCCTGCCTTTCCAGGAAGTCACCCCAGCTGGGCTGTGACGGTCCTGGCGTTTGCACGCGAAGGCCCACGTCCACGCTGGGGTGGTGGGTGACACCGTCTCCAAGTCGAAACAATTCTCTCTCTGCCCTCCCGGAAGTAGCCAGGGAACATAGCTGGTATCTGGCAGCGCTCGCTAGAGGCGCAGCAGTTGGGTTGAGCACGTAACACCGAGCAACTGATGTGACGCACATACTCGACTCGTTGTCTGAGGAAGACATTGAGGCGCCCATTTTATGGATGCCGGAGCTGAGATGGAGTGGTGAGAGTCAAACCTGATTGCTTTTCTCCTGAGGGCACTGCCCCTCTTTGTGGCACTGGGCCTGGAGACCAGAGACCTTTCAGCTCCACCACTGGGCCACTTCCCAGCCTTTTGTTTTGGGACAGAATCTTCCCAGATTGCCTGAACTGGACTTGAACCTGCAATCCTCCTGCCTCAGTCTCCCAAGATGCTGCAGTATAGTTGTGCACTGCCACACCCCAGCTCCCTTTGCCCCCGGTTACCCCACCCTCTTGTATAAGGCTCCAGGTGCTGTGTACTTGCTCAACAAGCAGCCTGGCATAGGGCCTGGCTTGTCGTATCCCTAAGCAGTGTTTGGTGGACTGCACCATGCCCGGCCTGCCCCCTTCCCCCTGCCCCCGCTGGCACCGACTTCTGGTCTTGATCCACTTCTTCCTTGCTCTGGTTTGGTGTCTTCTTGGTCCGGTGCCCTATGGGCCAAGGTCCGAGCCGGCCCTGGTCTGAAGAAACCGTGCTCTCGTCCCAGATGTTCCTGAGGCCACCCAGCCCGGACCCCTGCGAGGCCCCGATTTCTGGGCACCCCAGACTCTGGTCTCTGCACCTTGGAGGTGGCTTCAGGCTTCCAGGGCCTCTGCTTCGGCCCTGTGGCTGGGGCTGGGTCCCCCACACCGGTGCGGGTGGCCTAGCTCTTGTGGTTCACTCCGAATCCAGAAACCCTTAGTGAAATTACAGCTTTGATTAAATACAGCTGGCTGTGCGTTGTACTCCGTGTAATTATCGTGTTATTATTATTATCACTTAGATGAAAGTTCAAACAAAGTTTATTGTAAATAGTGTTTGACGGAGATAACTGAAGAACCAGGGCCACCAGTCCCCCCGTGTGACCTGGAGTGGTCACTGCCACCGCCGGTGGCAGAGCAGGGAGGGGTCCCTGGAGACACAGGTGCACTGGGGCCCGCGGTGGTCTTGGGTCCCTCAACTCGAGGGATGTAGTCATCCTGCAGATATTGATACCTGCTCTGCGTCATGCACTGTTTAGGGTGTGGAGTTCAGGGCCAAACAAACAGACACAGTTCTGCCCTCAGGAGTTTACGCTCTAGTGCGAAGGAGAAAATGTGGCCAGGTGTGGGGGTCCAGGCCTATAATCCCAGCTCTCAGGAGGATGAGGCAGGAGGATCACTGCGAGTTCAAGGACAAGCCTGAACTACATACATATCAAGACCCTGTCTCAAAAACACAAAAACAAGGAGAAAGGCAATCATTAAATACACAGATTAATGTGTATACAATGTCAGGGAGGGGTGAGTAGCTGGATGAAAAATAAAGAGAGTTAAGTGGAGAAAAAGGGAAACTGGATCAATATGAGGGGTATAGTTAAGCAGGGACTGGATAAAGTGAGGGCAGAGCTGTGAGAAAATAAGGGAAACACTCCAGGCAGAAGCACAGCATGTACAAAGGCCCTGGGGCAGGAGCCTGGCTGGTGCTCAAGGAAAGTCTGGGAGCAAAGTGCTGGGAACAGATGGAGGGAAAAAGCAAGGTGGTAGGAGATGGGTTTAGAGGGAGAGCAGGCCACAGAAAGGAAAGGACTTTGGGTTTTACTCAAAACATGAATCAACTATGTGCACATGCCTGTAAACCTGGTTACTTGAGAGACAGAAGCAGGAGGATCACAAGTTGGAGCCCAGACTGGGCAAGTTAACTACTTATCAAGATCCTGTCTCAAAACATAAACATACAAAGGGCTGGGGAATGTAGTGTGAAGTTTGGTTCATGAAGGTTCAATCCGCAGTGCCAGAAGGAAAGAAAAAAAGAGGAGCCAGGGCCGGCCAGGTACCTGGGGTGGTGGTGGGGTCTCTGCCCTGGGCGTCTGGCTGAGGAGGGTGGTGGGCAGGCACTTCTCTGTGCTGTTCGGGAACTTGCTGAGAGGCCCACACAGAAGCCACCAAGGTTTCCTGGCCTTGACTTGGAAGTCACGCAGCGTCACTTGGCCCCGTTACCCGGGCCATCCCAGTTTAGCTGGAGAGGAGTGAGCCTTGCCTGCGGGTACCTGTTTGTGGGCATGGTTAACAGAGAGGAGGCAGCTGCTAGGAACTCTCTAGAAAAGCCCTGAAGATAGCAGCTCTCCAAGGGCTGGCTATGGATCGCTGTTTTGGTTTTCTTTTCATTTTTGTGTTTGAGACAGGGTCTTGATGTGTAGTTCAGGCTGGCCTTGAACTCACTATGTAGCCCAGATTGGTCTCAAACTCGCACTGATCCTCCTGCCTCAGCCTCCTGTGTGCCGGGATTACAGGTGTGCACCGCCACACCGGGCTGCATTCCTGTTTTAACTCATTTAATTTTCCCATCAGCCTGGGAAGCTGAGATACTCACCCATCTCAGCAGCAGGAATGGGCCTGAGGGTCTTTGTTCCACACCCCAGCTCTGCACCCCAGCTCCGTCACAGCCTGGCCGCACCTGGGAACAGAACCTTCTGTGCCAAGCCCATGGTGCATCAAGGACACCGGTCGGAGGCCCAGGATGCACTGAGCTCGGTGTTGGCAGTTTTCGGAGCCCAGGCCTTGCCCTGTGAGGCTCCATGAGGTCTGGTGGGGGCGGAAGTGGGACCTGTCACACCAGGGGCACCGTCTGTGTGCAGGGTGAGCTGAGGGCTGTGGCATGAGCCGGGGCCCAGGAGGGCAGGGTGACAGAGCGGGCGGCGCTGCGTTCTAGGTGCCAGGGGACTTTCAATGGTGACCTTCAGTGCCCCGCTCACCCCCCTGGAGCCCGGGTAGGCTGGTGACAGCCCAGCCAGGAGAGTAGGAACGCGGGACAGAGCACTGGCACAGCAGAATCTGGGGCCCCATGCTGGCTAAGTCCTCCTGAGTTTAAATAGATGTTGAAGTTGAAACCCAGCCCCAGCCCCTGATAAGGGGTAGGAGGGTAGGGGTGGGCTTGGGCCTGCTTGGTTTTGTTGTTGTTTTTGTACTGAAATTGGACCCAGGGCCTTTACTCTGAGCTACACCACCAGCCCTTTTTTTTGTTTTTGTTTTTTTTGGTACCAGGGATCAAACTGGAGTCCTTGCACTTGCAAATCAGGCCCTGAAACCACTGAGCTAAATCCCCAGCCCAAGCCCATAATTTTGAGACACGGTCCCCACGAGTGGATAAATTGCCCAGGATGGGCTCAAACTTGTGATCCTCCTGCCTCAGCCTTCCGACGCCCTAGGGCCACAGGTCTGCATTATTATACCCAGCTTCCTGACTGTTTGTTTTTTTTTTCCCCTTCTCCCCTCTGGGGTCTGAAACCTGCAGCCCTCTGGGTTTGACAATCCGGCAGGCCACTTCCTGCAGCCAGCCCTGTGGCCCGCCCGTCACCTGGCTGGGAGCCGGAGCAGGTTGCTAACTTCTGCCACTGGCAGGGCCGCTGTGCAGCCTGATCTTCATGGCAGCCACACTCGCACAAATCTCTAATTGTTTAGTTTAAAGAATTGTGTTTTGACCGCGAGGGGATTTTGGCTGGAGCTCAGGAAGTGATAATGATATTTCGCTGCCAAGCCGTCTCCTCAGCTCCCTGTGTGTTAACGCGCACTTTCAAGCCACTCCAATTAACTGCCTCGCTCTGGGGAGAGCGGGAGAGGGCGCAGGCAGTGGAGGGGGCGGGCGACAGGAGAGCTGACACCCCCCTCTAGTCTTCTTATTAACAAACAAATGGAGGTGGGAGGTGACAAAGTTCTTGAAGACTCCCCTGGCTTCCCCAGGGAAGTGTTGGCTTTTGTTTTGGTGGGGAGACCCGATGGGCCCAGCAGAGGAACTGGGCATAAAAACCCCTCTCCAGGGTCTCCCCTCCTCCCCTTTCCTCCCAGGGAGAACTTGGGTAGCTCAGACCTGGCCCTTCTCATCTAACCCCAGCCCTTCTGCAGTTTCAGGGTAACTCCTGTATCCCTACTGAGAGGGCTGGTAGCTCAGGCATGGACACGGGGACTCCCTGACTCACCTCCTGAGGTTGTGGCCCCCACATCACTGGTGAGGCCCTAATTAAAATTACAATCTATCAGTTTTGATAGGGTCTGGCTCAGCTGCCCAACCTGGGCTTGAACCTGTGATTCTCCTGTCTCAGCCTCCCATCTGTCTGGGATTACCCAACTACACCATCGCATCATCAGCTCCTCTTAACTAAGTGTCCTCAGCCCCCTCCCAGGCCTCTAGCTCCCCAGGGTCTGGGGATTCCTTCTTCCCTGGGCAGGAAGGCATCCCCAGATCCCCCGAACAGGTGCTGAGGAGGAGGGGCTGCACCTAGTAGGCAGAGTCAGGAAGGACTCCAGCAGGCCCTGGCGCAAAGCCTTCCTGGGACCGTCCAGATCCCTGCCCCTGCGTGTGCCTTTGTGTCCCGTCCGAAGGGGACTCCTGTGAGCCCAGGAGACGCAGGGGCTGGAGTCTGGAGGGTCTAGGCAGGGGTTGGAGGGCGGGACGTCTGGGCAGGTGGCAGCCACCTCGAGCATGGGGCTCCTTGTCCCCTTGGGCGGGACCACCGGGACCAGCCCAGCCCGAGCTCACAGCGACCCCTGCCGGACAAGCCGTTCCCCGCCGCCTCCTCCTGGGAGCCTACCGGGGTGCCCCGCAGACGCCTCCTGAGGTCACTGTCACCCCTAAGGCTGTGATTTTTAGGGGCTGAGGAGTTAGGGTCCCACAGGTGAAGCAACTTGCTCAAGGCCACACGGCGGCGTAAAGCAGACAAGCGGGGAGGTGGCCGGGCCTCCCTAAGCCTGCCGTCCTTGGATGTGAGCTCCGTGGGGTGTACCCCTCCCCCGTCCCGGGGCACAGCTGCGTGGCAGGCCAGGGAAGGAGGCAGAGGACCCCGAGTGTGGGGTGGTTACACATCCTTACTAAGCCCTGCCCAGGGTCACCCCCACATCCATGCTCCAGCCACCTGGACCCCTCCCCCCCAGGCTGCAGGGCAAGATGGGGTAGAGTGGGGTGTGGGCATGGCTGCGGGGAGGCTGACACCCCGCTTGCAGTGCCCAGTACACCCGGCTAGTGCACACGGACCCTGTAACCCAGAGGCTCCAGTTGGGATTCGGGGCACGGCTTCTCCAGGGGAGGAGAATCTCAATTCTGCCGTCTGTGCCCTGCAGTGGGCTGTGCCCCGCTGGTGAGGAGGGAGGGGAGTCTGGCAGATGCAGGGGACCCCTGGGCTGCAGCCTTGAGGAGCCCCGGTGACCTGGGCAGGGATCAGCCAGGGACCTTCTCAGAGATCAGGTGTGCGACAGGCAGCAAAGTTTTCCTGTGTGGCCCCAGGCAGGGTGCTGAGCATTCGCAGAACACCTCCTATGCTGCACCTAGGAGATGCCTCATTTCCTGCCTTTCCCGGGGCTTACACCCTGCTTACACTCAGAAGGCTGAGGCAGGAGGATCGCTGCAAGCCCGAGGCCAGCCTGGGCTACATAGTGAGACCCTGCCTCATCGAAACTAAACAGAGAAGGGCCCCAGATGAAAAACCACAGTCTTGCAAGATGTCTGCCTCTCGTCTCCTGTCCTGTTATCGAGCTGCCTCCAGAATGACCCCGGCCTGGGATCCCAGACAGGGAACTGGGCCTTGGAGTCTGCACTGAGATCCCGTCTTTGCTCGGCCACTTGGCCAGGTGACTTCAGTTCTCTGAACTGATCTCCTCATCTACAGAAGCTGACCTATTCTCAACCTTTGGGCTGCTGTGAAGATGAACTGAAATAAGGCATCTGCAAGGGCCTGAGCTGTGGCCGTCCTCTCTTTTGGGACTGCAGAAAGCGCCACAGCTGTTGCTGGTCTAACAAAAAATATTTATTTTGGAGAAAGGGCCTGTCCTGGGCACCAGGGCCGCGGGAGGCCCCCTGGCAGGGGGCACCGGGCCACCTCTGAGAGCTGAGCTCTTGGTGCAGCTGTGGGCAACAGGAGGAGGCCACTGCATCAGGGGGCTCAGCGGCCGCAGGCCCTGGGAGGCCGTGGGTCTTGCAAGGGAGGCCTGAGGCCTGACCTTGGGGGTCTTCTGGCGGGAAGTTGGCCAGGGCTGACTCCCCAAAGAGGCGGATGTCGAGAGAGCAAGGCTTGAGGGGTGCAGCGCAGGGGAGGGCCAGGCCGGCCAGCTTGGTCCCCAGACTGAACTCATGAAGGCAGGGCACACGGAGGGGCGGCAGGGAGAGGTCTTCCCACCCTGAGGCCTGCCTGCCAGCTCCCAGGCCAGCTCTCCCACCGATGGGGTCCTTGGGGCAGCAGGAGCGCTTGGGCCCTGAACAACAGGTAAGGAGAACAAGGTTGGGTGGATGGGACAGGTATGGCACAGCTCGGCAGAGACAGGTGGATGGGAGAGGCAGGATGGGGACAACACGACAGGGCAGAGGCAAGGGTCATGCACAGCCATGATCCCTGTGTTCCCCCCCGCTTCCCCCCAAAGTCCTTCGACGCTGAGGTTTGGAGGTGGAGTTCACCCATCCTTGCCCAAAAGAAATACAGAGATGGGTCGGGGATTTAGCTCAGTGGTTCCACCGCCTGCCTCAAGCACAAGGACCCGAGTTTTTCCCTGGTACCCCAAAAACAAATAAATAAAATTTAAAAATACAGAGAGCAGAGGGACCTCAGACCCTGGGGACCCAGGGCAGGTACTCTGGCAGGGGAGGAGCGAGGGCCCCTGACCCACACCCTGCTTTAGACCTGACTGTTCCAGGGTTAGCAGTGCTGTTCGCCCACCCCCGCCCGCCCGCTGCAGCTTCTGTGCTCACACAGAGCCCCTCAGAGCCCGGACGGCCCTTCACCTGGGTGCCTTCCCTGCTCAGATCCCCTCAGCCCCTCGCTCCTCTCTGGTGGCCGTGACCACATAGTTTGGGACCCTCACGACAGTGTGGCCAGCTTTGATGTCTAAACGTCCCTCGTACCTGCCTGACCAGCGTTTCTTCCAGGCTGGGACTGGGGTCCTCTAGGACCATGTCAGTCCTTGTCAGGAAGCTGTACCCCTCCCTGGAGCTGGAGGGGAGGAGACCTCTCTGTCCGCTGAGGCTGTGAACTCATAGGGCCAGCCACACCCCAAACCCTCTGTGATGTCTCACTTGGGGTCCCACCGAGAGTCATTGTGCCTTCTGCAAACTCTGTACACCCACATTTTCCCCAGGTCCTCTGCGCTGGAGATGGCCACACAGGAGGAGCCCTTAGCTTTTCTGGGTATCCCCTCTCTTCTCCGAGGGGTGAGGCAGTGGCCTACTCCTTAATTCCCATGATGCTCCGGGCAGGAGGGTGTTAGGTTCTGCAGTCAAGCAGTGGATGGGCAGGAAGGGACTTGAACCCCAAGTCCATGCCCAGTGTGGTTCTCTGTGCAGTGGGGAGGGGACCCCCCCTCTGCCATGTGGGAGTCTGAGCTTGAAGCTGAGGCACTGCTGCTGGACAGGGCTGCCAGCCAGTGCTGGAATATTCCCAGGGACGGGCAGCTCAGTGCCTGGCAAGGCCAGCAGCAGCCTGGAACCCTGAGCCATGTCTTCCTTCTATCAAACCACACCCTGCAGCCTGTTTTGGGTGTGTGTGTTGTGGGGTGGGCGTGGAGGAGGCACTACTAAGCGTACGACCACTCCGGAAAAGCAGCTGTGTGGTCGATGGCTGTTCCTGCAGGAAGCGCCGAGTCCTGCTTCCTTTAACCACCCGGGGCATTTGGGCGAGGTGTCCCAGGACAGGGACAGGGACAGGACAGGGACCCCCGGGCCTCTGCCCCTGAAGGGTCCAGGGTCTGAAGCAGAGGAGGGTAGGGCACCCAGGGCAAGGAAGGAAGCAGCCCAAGGGCCAGGAAGCGGGAGGTGGCTTGGTTGGTTTGAAACTAGGTGATGCTGAGGCGAAGAACCAACAGGTCTAGGCTCCCGAGGCAGTGGCCGCCTCTCCCGAGCTTCCGTATCTCCATCTGGAAAGTGGGTAGAGCATTAGCATCCACCTCCTAGGCTTGAGGAATCAAATGAGAGAAAGCAGTGCCTGGCGAGTAGTAGGCCCTAGTTGCATCATGGCAACAGCACAGTAACTTCCTACAGGATAAGAGATAATATTTACCTACCTCCCCTTCCAGTTTCAGAATCCGGGCTCTGCTCAATCCCTGTGGGTGGACCCGGCTCTGGCTCCCTGAGCCCAGAGGCCATCTGGGCAGAGCAGGGCAGCGGCACCCATGTCCCATACCCAAGGTCCCGGCGGCGACTCCCTCATCTTCCTCTCCAGGCAGAGGCCGGAAGTGGGGTTGCTGGGAGGGACGAGCGTGTTCTCCCAGTCACTGTGCCTCACCACGGCCCCAGCCTCGACTTCCCCCCTCGCTGCTGTGGCTCCAGCCTCTTCCCCCACAAGCCCTCGGGGGTCGGGTGGCCAGGCCCACTGCCTGAACCTGCCTGCCACCTTAGGCCTCTTCCTGGGCCTCAGTTTGCACCGCGTCGTAATGATACCCTAGTGTGATTTAATGATGCATGCTGAGCTGCTCAGGTGAGCAAAGAGGAGAGAGTGAAGGCCACGGGGATTTTACCGAGCTGGGCGCTGGCGGTGGTCTTCCCGGGAGAGCGGTTGGGGGGATTCTCCGGATACAGTTCCGGGGCAGTGAGAGGACGGAGTCTGACACCTCCCAGTCTGAGGACACGTTCACCCCGGCTCCTTCCAGGGCTTTAACCCTGTTTACAGAAATGGGAATTTGCATGATGAAAATAACTCCGGCCGGACTGCGATTTTACTGCGCTTGGCACGGGGCTCGGAAAAAGCGGCTGCATAGCCAATTACTGGAATTTTAAAACACAAATAATATTTTATGGGATCAGTGGGTTGGCGCGGGGCTGCCGCACCCGGCGTGGCTCCTCCGCCCACAAACAAGCTCTGATTGTGCGACGGGCCCCGTGCCAGGCCTCGGGACGTAGGGGCCCCAGCTGATTGCGCGTATGAGTCGCGGCTTGGGCAGGTGCAGCAAGGGCCAAGACATCCCCTCGCCCGGCCGGCGGGGG